TTTTTCAGCCAATGTAGGGCAATCATGCCTACAAAGACCACCAATGTAAGGTATTGTTAAAATGTCCTTTTCAGACCATTATTATTTAATTTCATGACTATTCAGTAAATTAATCTCTACAACCTACTGTTCACACTAATAGGTCTATAAATTTTACTATGGGTTCCCTGGGACTTGAAAAAAATTTTCAGGGTTCCTCCATGGTAAAAAAAAAAGGTTAAGAAAGGCTGTTCTAATGTCAGAGTCATGGAGTTTGATGCTATTGTCTTTAATGCTTTATAAGAAAGCACATATGTCTTCCAGCTGATCTAGCGTGACCAGCATTCCCGTGCAGGTTCAGAAGTTACAAAATCAATTACCTTATGAATATTTCACTGTACAAGCTATAAGGAGATTGGTAATGTCTCTATTCCTACATACGGTGGTCAGCGCCTTTCTTACCCTTGCTCCAGTTCTACACTGGTTATCCCAGACCAAAATAGAAGTCAACATGCAGACAAACAAGCTGCAGGTCAAGATCATTCTACAGAACTGAGCAAACAGGACATTATGTATGAAGTGTCAATGAAAAGATGACTGCAGATCCATCACATGCACGCAGCCTGCAGGTGCAATGGCAAATCAAGTACCTATGGATGGGATGCTTAGGAAAATAAATCCAAAGTGCTGATTACCTGCAGGTATTGGGAAGACACTGTCCATGAAGGAAGTCTGGGAGAGGACATAACAGAAAAAAAAGCTGGAGGTATAATCCAATTGCGATTAGTCTGACTGCAACCATGCTGGCAGCCCCTGCAGGATAAAGCCCCTTGTGTAGAAAGTGAGCTGAGGCTGAGCGGAATCTGTATGTGTGTGTGTGCCAGTGTCTGTATGCACCCTGCTGCCTCCACCCAGCCGGTGGGTGTGTATCAGACTACAGGCTTCTGTGTCTGCCACCTTGAGCCTATCAGTGTGTCTTCCCTGGATTGTGTTTACTTCTCTTCCACTGTGTAGAGCAGGATTGTGCAGTTTGTGTCCTCCTTCCTTCCTTTCACAGCCTGTCAGTGTGACCCTCCTGTGTGTGTCCGCAGGGAGGAATGTCTGCACACAGCTCTCCCTCATCCTGCTCCTCACTGATATATATAACTCAGGCTGTGTGGAAAACCTGCCAATGTATTGAGTTATGGCTCAGAAAGGGGACCCCTTCCACCGGCTATTACATTCATATATTTTTACCTCAGCCTGCCACCTCTAGGTGATACAAAGCGGCCATTTCCCTTTGCGATAAATATTTATCTCTCATATAAAACTCTTTATTAGCAATTCGGCTGAAGACACACAGGCAACTCTGCCGCTAGCAATCCTGAGGCTGACAATTTGGTCAAAACAACAGCAGGATCACTAAGGGCCCATTCACGCTAACACTATGGTCACAGCAAGCCCGACTTTGAAATTGTGCGACCAGGGGCGGACTGACAACTCATGGGGCCCCCAGGCAATAGGGAATCATGGGGCCCCTGTGTCCTTGCCTAAACTCAAAAAAGCCTATGAAAAAGGTACCAGGGGCATCTCATGAGGCCCCATACTGACCCCGGGCCCTCAGGTAGTGCCTGAGTTTCCAAATGGTCAGTCCGCCCCTGTGTACAACTTACAGTGAAATCGCACGAGATGCCAATTTCAGGTGCTAAAATGTGTAACAAGTGTGAGCGCTTGATTATAAATAAGCTGCTGGCATTAAGGATGAACCTCTGTATCCTCAAACTAATCAATAAAAAATGCAGCGCTAAATGATGAAAGTGACAAATGCATAAATGAGGTGCAAAATGCTTGCGCTAAAACGTGCTCACAGTAAATATAAAGTGTGTCGTCAAATATTGACAAAATAATAGGTGAATGGATAATACAATAGTGGTAATAGTGAGAAGTTCAACATAAAAGTAGTAAATCAAATAATGATTGATGAATACATCCTGAAATACATATATATAAAAATGTCCAAAAGTGATCCGTAAATTTCAGTGCACGTGACTTCCGTGATAGCGATTTGTAGTATGCTTGCACTCACCAGAAGCGCAATGATATTGCACATGTATTTATATCCAGTGATTCCTTGGTGAACATCAGGGCTCTGGCGGGGACAAGGGGCTCCACAGGTACACACTCAGTACACAGGAAAAGCACTCCAGACCAGGGGCGGACTGACCATTTGGAAACTTGGGCACTGCCCGAGGGCCCGGGATCAGTAGGGGGCCCCATGAGATGCCCCTGGTACCTTTTTCATAGGTCTTTTTGAGTTTGGGCAAGGACACAGGGGCCCCATGATCCCCTATTGCCCGGGGGCCCAATGAGTTGTCAGTCCGCCCCTGCTCCAGACCTCACAAACCGGACCCTCACAGCACACAGGGACAGCTCCTCTCATGTATCTCCACCACAGAAATATGTTGCCAAAAGGATATAATTCCACATCGTTCATTGGTCAGGATTTTCTCTCCCACAAATCACAGAGATTTTCTCTCCCACAAATTTCAGGTGCGATTTGCAAGGCACAGATGTCTATGTACTACTTTAGAAATCAGTGCAGCTCAGACCAAGTTGGAACCGCACTGATTTGACCGCTCTAAATGCGGACAAAAGGGTGTGACTTGGCATACAATTTGCAAGTCGCATGGCATGCAAATCACATCCGAGGTGACCGGGTGTCAGTGGAGTTACTTGCTTCTTCCTCATGGAAAACCACAGGTAATTGCAATGACACATAGAAAACAATAGTTTTTCTGTGTGTCATGTTCGCACTAGAATGCAGTCGGGGAGATTTAGTAAAACTGGAACACTCACTTCAGCCTTGCAGATCAAGTGATTTTCCCTCTGGGGTTATTGTTTAACTGCTTTCGTGCCACCCTATAGCAGAAATACTGCTATTCGCGACCTCGGCTGTCAATCACCGGATCCTGGCCGGTGATTCCCCGCCGCACCCAGCGATCTCCGACGGGGGAGAGACCTGTATGTAAACAATACAGATCTCTCCCGTCAGCTCCTGCGCACTGCTTTGTATGGCTCTGCATAGCAGAGCCATACAAAGTAGTGTGCTTACAGTGAAGTACACACACACAGCCTCCATAGTAAAAAAGCATACAGCACACAGTTAACCCTTTGATCACCCCAGATGTTAACCCTTTCCTGCCCAGTACCATTAGTACAGTGGCAGTGGTTTTTATTAGCACTGATCACTGTATTGGTGTCAGTAGGGATGTCAGTGACACCAAGTCAGTTCCCCCCAGTGACAGAATGTCAGCCACAGTCCCGCTATAAGTCACTGATCGCCACCATTACTAGTAAAAAATAAAAGAAATTCCAGTATATATACTGCCATTTGTAAACGCTATAACTTTCACGTAAAGCATTTAATTTACACATATTGGGATTTTTCTTTTTAGCAAAGACATGTTGCAGAATACATTTTGACCTAAATTTATGCTGAAATTTGATTTTTTTACTGGATATGTTTTATAGCAAAATGTCAAAAATATTGTTTTTTTTCTCAAAATTGTCTGTCTTTTTTTGTTTATAGCGCAAAAAATAAAACCGCACAGGCGATTAAATACCACCAAAAGAAAGCTCTATTGGTGGGAAAAAAAGGATGTAAATTTCATTTGGGTGCAGTGTCGCGCAATTGTCAGCTAAAGTAACGGAGCGCCATAACGCAAAAAAAATGGCCTGGGCAGGAAGGGGGGGTAATCCTCTGGAGGACAAGTGGTTAAAGGAGAAGTTCACCTTTTCAACAAAAATAATAAATGCAAATTTTTTTGCAGGTAAAAATCCGATCCATTCTGCTCCTCAATCCGCAGATCCGATCTGTTTTGTGGGGATCGTCAGCTTGCAACCTATATGGGGTTAACTGATCTAGGTAAGGTTGTGCAAGATCCGGTACTTGTCTGTAACCAGGAAATGTAGCCGCGATAGCAGGAACCTCCTCCATCTGACATCACTTCTCGAGCATGTGCAGACCGGACCAGTGTTGAAAGATCCATTAACCCCGTATAGGTTGCAAGCCGACAATCTCCGCAAGATGGATTGGATCGGATCTACGGATTGGGGAGCATAATGGATCGGACTTCGATTTATTATGCTCAATCCACAAATCCAATCCATCCTGCGGGGATCGTCGGAGGGGTTACACCAACCCTAGGGACACCCCTGCCTGTCAGAATATCTGCTTGCCTTATGGGATGTACAAGCAAGCAGATATACTGACAGGAAGAATCAATGAACTACCATGGCACTCCAGGCCGACAGCCGCTAAGGCTGTAGGGACTTGTAGTCACTCATTCACAGAATGCTGTGAATGAGTGACGCGGCCAGGCAGGTGGAGCCCCGCACGGATACATTTTTAGCTGTCAAAGCAGGGGCGCGGGGGCCGGCCAGATCATAACATGTTACACCCTGAATATGGGTGTAACATGTTACGAAAGGTGAACTTATCCTTTAAGTTGTATTTATTTCTTTTGATGTTGGGTCAATTATCCCTACCCCTGCGTGGGCGTCCATTGCACCTTTCTTTTTGCGTATTTACATGTTAAAATCAATAAAAAAAATTTTTTAACCACTAGCCTACTGGGCACTTATACCCCCTTCCTGCCCAGGCCAATTTCCAGCTTTCAGCGCTGTCGCAATTTGAATGACAATTGTGCGGTCATGCAACACTGTACCCATATGAAATTTTTTTATAATTTTTTTGTGACAGATAGAGCTTTCTTTTGGTGGTATTTAATCACCTCGGGGTTTTTTATTTTTTCTTAAACAAACCAAAAACCACTGAAAATTTTGAAAAAAAATATTTTTTTTCTTAGTTTTTGTTATAAAATTTTGTAAAGAAGTGATTTTTCTCCTTCACTGATGTGCGCTAATGAGACTGCAGTGATGGACACTGATAGGTGGGACTGATGGGCACTGATGAGGAGGCACTGGTAGGTGGCACTGACAGGCATCACTGATGGGCACTGAAAGGCAGCACTGATACATGGCACTGTTAGGCGGCACTGACTGGCACTGATGCACACCGATAGGCGACACTGACTGGCACTGTTAGTTAGGTGGCACTGATTGGCAGCACTGATGGATGACACTGAAAGGCAGCTCAGATGGGCACTGATATGTGGCATTGATGTGCACTGGTATGCACTGATATGTGGCATTGATGTGGCACTGGCACGATGCAACACAAGGCACTGATGGACACTGACAGGTGGCACTGCTGGGGCTATACTGATCATCAGAGCACACTGATCATCAGTGCCCTGATGATCAATGTACATGTCCCCTCTGCGGAAAGCGACAGCTCGAGAGGAGAGAAATGCCGATAACCGGCATTTCCGTGTTTACACGTGATCCGCTGTGTCCGAGGGACATAGCGCACTGCCGATTGCCACGCTGCGCGCTCCCTGAGCCGCGCATGCGCGGTGAGAATGGGAGGACGTCATATGACGTCCTCTCAGAACGAGAGAACCACCTTGCGCCAGTCATTGAACTATATGGCGGGTGGGAGGTGGTTAAACAAAAGCAAAAAACTGGAGCACTCAGAATCTGGTGCAGCTGTGCATGGTAGCCAATCACCTAACTTCAGCTTGTTCAATTAAGCTTTGATAACACAAATTGAGAGGCTGCCCGTTGTGCTCCCATGGAATGTCTCTCTCTCTAGCTGATGTAGTAAGGTGTCACTGCCATCAAAAGCGATCGAGATTCAGTAGCGTTTGCCACAGTGACAGATAAACACACACAGGCAGCCTTTTAGCAAACCTGCTGCTGGCGATTTGTTGCCCCCATGTTATGAAGGGTAAGAGCCGGCTCACACATATGTTAAATGGATGCATTTTGAGCCACATCAAATTCACATGACATGTGAAAGAACATTGCTTTTTATTGTGCCTGTTCACATATGTCCATTGCTGCGGATTCATTGCGAACTGAAAAAGAGTCTTGTCAGTTTTCTGAGCAGTGCGGTCAGGTTCAGGTGCCAATTTAGGCTCATTGACTTCTATGGGAACTCTTCTGAATGGCACATCTTTCAGTTGTGAACAGGACAAAATCCTGACGTGATCCGAATGTAAACCTGACCTGAAACACTACTTTGTCAATTAGCTGTTAAAACAGAGAAGCTCCCATGTGTGTATCCACCCTAACACCACTTTTGTAGGGGAAAATTATAGCAAAATAAAAACATGCAGCATATGCAACAGTACAATTTCTACAATACAAGCCATTTGCAATTTAACCCCTTCATGCCTAAGGGTAAAACAAATCTAAATGCCTAAGCACAATTCTGCAACTTTGACATGTGTTAGTAAAACCGTACATATCATCACAACTACTTTGTGCATCCAGCTGGATTATACCGCGTTTTCTTCAGGACAATGTGGGCTTTCATTTGGTGGTAAATGGTAATGGATAGCTCCTGATTTTTTTATATTATCAAAGGAAAACTGGCCCAAAATAGTAAAAAAAAAAAATTCTTTTTTTTTTATTTAGCTGTGTGTTTCTTGTTACAACCATAACCTACCACCAAAGAATAACAAAAATAAATTCTCCAGCTCTTTTTTTTTTACCTAAAACACACGGACACCAATTTTTTTAAATCCTGACCTTTGACCTTTGACCCTGACCCAAACACTAACCTTGGCACTGAACTAGATCAAACCTTGATCTAGGTATTTTTCTTTATTTTTTTTAATATCTTTTTTTTTTTTTTTTTTTACAAACATTTTTTTTTCTCTCTAAGCCAGTTAGAGAGATACAATGTATCTCTCTTCTCCATTCATAAAGAGAGAAAAAAAGCAAGGGGGCTGGGCTGCACAGTGACTGATCACTGTGATAGCCAATCAGAGGCTATCACAGCGATCATGTGACCCGGAATTGATGATCGTTAGAACAGGACCTGGAGCTCTCAGTGACACTGCGGTCTCTGTGCTGGGAGCGCTCCGTGCGGTGCACTCCCAGCACAAAGACAGGTACGCAAATATGCGGCCCCACAGAAAAAAGCCCAGTTCCATATTTGTGTGACATCGGCGTCAAGGGGTTAATGGTACCAAAAACTACCTTTCCCCTCCAATCTGTAATCCCACAATTTTCTGTAAATTCAATGCAATATGGTAACCTGGAGACGTTCTGTACACCATTGGTCATTTCCTACTTGCCTGATTGGCTCACTGATTTTCCAAGAAGTCTGTGTTAAGATACAAGTAAGATTTTAGGCATCCCCTGCAACAAAAAATGTGTTAGTGAGATTCTTCCTAACGGTTAATTGCTGCTAAAAAGGGATACAGACCCTGCAGCTTTTCTCATCAGAACACCCAGGCTTGCAATTGGGGGGTTCTGTAAAAGCATGTTAGAGCTGTGTTTTTACTGCCCCACCAATTCCCCCCCTTAAGCCACAAAGGCAACAGACAGCGATGTTCACATGACAACACAAAAATTTTACTTCTGTCATGTATGCTACCCATTTAAAGTGTTATTAAACCCACAACACTAAGGTCAGTCTGTATATGCAGTAAAGCATGCTTGTTACACTCACTATGGAACCCAAGGAGTAAATCCTCTACATTGTGTAAAAAGGATGTTTGATCCTGTCTTCTCTGATCCTCTCCTTCTGATACTGTCCCCAATCGATCTGCTGATAAAACAGAACCTTGGGGCCAGCTGCACATGCTCAGTTTGGTTTGTATTGCTAGAGTTTTTTTTTCTTGTAAGAGTGCATGTGATCAGCACAGGGCCAATCAGCACTATCCAGACAGAGGGTCAGGGGTCCTGCAGCCTCTTAGGACAATCTGGGGAGAATGAAAACTCCTCCTACAAGCTTTAACCAATGCTCTGCTGCACACTGATAGAAGTCACTTTGCAAGTCACTTTTACTGTCGTAAAGTCACTTTACGACATCTGCTAAAATTAGCAGATGTCGTAAATTTTTGTTAAATTTTTTTAATGCTGTTTTTGTTCTCCCTCAAGTATTATTCTCAAAGAATACAATAAACTTTGGCAGCAAATTATTCAAAGGGTCACTTTTACCACAGTCCGTGTACTTCAAATACAAGCAAGTATATTTCTACAGAAAGTATACTTACACTGTTTGCCTACCCCAGTAGTGTATCTGCGGGAAATAGCACCTATGGCACTGCAATTACACCATGGCAAAACATCTGACACTGTATTTATTGGGCTGAAGGACGTTGAAATCTGCACTGGAAAATGGTGTCAACTTCTCCTTGCTGCTGCAGGGGAAGTGTCCCCCCCCCCGAAGCCCATGAGGCCCCCTTCTCATCAGAAGCCCTTCTTTTACATTAGAGTCCCCCCATTTCACATCAGGAGTCCCATTTGCATCATACTCCCCTCATTACATCAGGAGTAATCAACTTTACATTACAGACCCTCCCTTACCATCAAAGTCCCCCCCCTTCATGTCAAAATCCCCCCTTCACGTCAGAGTCCGCACCTTTCACAATAGAATCCCCCTTCAAATCAGGAATGTCCCCTTTAAACCACAGGCACACCTTAACATCAGAGTCCCTTCCTTTCACATCAGAAGCCCCCATCACATCAGGTGTTTCCACTTTCCATCAGGAATCTCCAAATTACATCACAGTCCCCCCTCCACATCACAGTCTCCCCTTCAGACAACAAACTCCCCTTTACATCACAACTTCCCATCACAGTGTCACTTTCACGCCACAGACCCTCTTCACATCAGTGTCCTCAATCCCCCTTCATATCACAGTCACCCCTTCACATTACAGCCCCCATTTACATCACAACTCTATTTCACATCACAGTCCCTCATTTACTGTATATCAGAGATCCCCCTTTACATCAGTGTCCTCAGCCCCCTTCACATCACAGCCCCACCTTTACAGCCCTACCTTTCACAGCATCATGGCAGAGGGTGGATTGCCGAACAGGTCTATACAGAGGGTGGAAGCTGCCTGACTGTGCATTTTGACCGATGTGTAAACCGGTTGCTGGGAAGCAGAGTGGTCCTAGCAACCAGAGGATGATGGTATCAGCTGGGGGAAACCCAGGAGAGGAATACAGCTGTAGTTTACAGGGTGAATAGTTTAGGGGGAAGGGGAGAGAGGGGTTTGGGGGAGAGAGGAGAGAGATTGATAGAGAGAGGGCGAGGGAGAAAGAGAGGTGGGGAGGGGGAGAGAGAGAGAGACACACACACACACGGTGTCTTCCTCCAAATTGGGGCCCAGGGCATGGGACATAGCTGCTTGGCCTGGCTGGCCTACCACCCCTTCCCCATCCCTTTCCCCTGCTGTCTGCACCTGCACAATTGATCCCTATAGATTGTATGGGGTTTTATCCCAAGTGTGTGCTGCCTTTGGAGACAGCCCTACAGAATAGGAGTTGGCAACTGCCAGCATGTATGCCATGATGGGCACACAAAGCTCTCTAGACTGTCAAATACACGGCCTGGCCTACCCACCTTCCTGACATCAGTGGAAGCACCCTGCAGGTGAAAACATTGTCATACAGCATTGAGGAATCAAGCCATCCCACGCTCCAGCCACTCAGCATGCCTGCACATAACAGTAGACTAAAAAAACAAAAACAAAAAGGGGAATATTTCCTCCTTTAAGCTGGTTATGTATGACAGCTTTCTTACATGGGTCTTTTGGCCACTCTCCTGTTGTAAGGCTCTCCTTCACTCTCTGATCTCCTTTCAAGCTTCACTTCAGCCCTACAAATATAGGAAGGAAGGGGTAGGCTTTTCAGTGCAAGGAATAGTGTGATAGCCTGTGTGGAATCCCCCAAGAAACCTACCATACTGTATTTGGTCCTGTTCTGATCTGTGGCTTGGTTGCCGAGCCAGCGTGGTTGACAACTTGCTTCACCTTCCCCCTTCTCAACTCAATCCGACCATGCTGACAAACCTTTTATTGCTTGGGGATACTTCTTTAAAATGGAAAAAATTGGTTAGGATCATAAAAAAAATAATTTTTTACAATGAAAGCTTTGTGTTCCAAAACAACCATCTGCAAGGTTATGTTAATATCCCTGCCTATTGTTGCTGATCTGAGGTCTGAAATGCATGTGTGTATAAGGGTTGATTTGGGTCTGAAGTGCATGTCTACATTGGGAATGTGCTGAGTCTGAAGGTGCAGAAATTGAGGCTGATCGGAGGTCTGAAGTGCATGCATTGGGACTGAGGTTTAAAGCTGGGTATACACTAGTAGGATTTCGAAGAAAATTTCATCTGAAAATTCTTACAAAAATTCTCAGTACATTCCAATGGTCGAAAGTAGTATATTTCTTTTGCTTTTAACATTTGATTTTGGAATTAATGGACTTTAGAGGAAAACCCAAAACACTGAAATGTGTAAATTCGAGACACATTTTCCATCCTGCTCCTTTGAACTTTCTTGTCACTGAAGTGAAAAATGAATGTCAATTTGAC